CTCTGCTATCTATTTTCCCTCCCTATTCCAGACTGTCAGCAGGAATTGAGTGTTCTCCTGGAGCCAGGGATGGATTTCCTAAATGGTGACAAATAGCAGTAAAGCCTGAAGTCAATTCCACAGTGAAATCATTATATAAATTGCTCTTTCCTGCAGGAAAGAGAGGGATGAAAGATAAAACAAACCAGAAAACAGTATGAAATGAGTAATCTTATTGTTCAGCTATGGGAAGTGAGAACAACAACCCCAACAATGGCGCTGGTTCTATCTGGCGCTACCAGGAGGAGTACACCTGTAAAGGAAAATGTTAGTTGAGGATTTCTGAAATACAAAAGCCCTGAAAACAAAATAATTCAGGTGCACAACCATATTCCAAAAGGACATCATGAAACTCCCTCAGCCGAGAGCAATGAAAACTACAGAGCAGAATGAGTGCGAGCCACCCTGATATTCATTATTGCTGTGGCAGTGCACAGGAGCCTCGATCTTGATCCTGTGTGCGGGGTGCTGTGTTCTGATTCAGAGACTGAAAGCTAAATGGCAGACCAGGAAAATGACATACATTTGTCACAGATGCAGGGAGCATGAGGAAAGAAAAGCAGTCAGTGTGCTGCTGAGTTTTTTTATAGGCCATACAGACAAGGAGAGCTTTGGAGAGAGCTCTGGAAGAGTATTTTTAAAACACACATTAATAAGGGTTCAGCTGCAAGCCTGGGAGGAAGCTTAGGGCTGTTTGAAATGGCAACAAGTAGGCAGTGGAACTGGTCCTCATGAGCTGATCTCAAGGAAGAGCTGATATCCTCTGAACAAGATGAACAGTGATGGGATAGGGAGAGACTGGTTCCATCCCACTTATACTCTGAAACAGATGAACAGGGATGGGATAGGGACAGACAGGTCTCTAAGAGGCAGGCGTCTGACACACAAGAGAAGAGAGTTAGTAGACAGAAAAGAAAGAAGCGACACAGAGCGAGGAGCTCAGAACAGTCCTGCATTGTGAGGACAAGGGCTTGGTTATTCAAGAGTTTTCTTTCCCCCTCGTTTCCCAGAGGGAGGAGCGGTGTTTCAAGGGCAAATAATACAATCACTTGACTGTGTTGAGAGATTTATGGTCTGACTTTACCATGTGTTAAAATATTGATTCTCTTTCTAACATATGCTTTAGATATTGACATTATCTTTTCTATACAGAAGACTGACTTCTGCAAACAAAAGCTGGGACTTTATAGTAGGATCCAGTGATGCTGGATAAATACAAAGTGACGTAAGTGAAGCACAAGTCTCAGATTTTTTCTGCTCAATTAAATAAAGATAGCAAGAGAGACACTGAGCAGTGTGTGGCGGTGTGTAGCTGGAGTAATGAAACAATAATATGACAGACGGTGCATTTACGGGCAATTACAGCATGCCTCTGCTGGCACTTTAAGGCACAAGGCCAAAGACTTCAGCAATTCAAACCACACAAGTAGAGCAGTAACCCCCTGGAAATGCCAGCATAGAGCATCTGGCTTGGGAGCCCAGGGCGGGACTGACACTTAGCAATGAGCCAGGCAGCCAGGTCTCTGCATTTACCGGGCATTACTGCTGGAGATAGAGCAGCATGTCAAAAAGCTATTTCTGTGTCCCTTGGATAATACATTTCCAGGCACTTTTATGTAAGTAGCAGTGAAAGATAAATCTCCACACTGAATAAGGACGTCTCCTTCTTGCCTTGTGAGTACAGCTTGAAGACACCACTGCATCAGACAACAGATTTAAAATAAATAGATTCGTAAAGCTCAACTAAAAGAAATCACTCATCTGTCAACTCCCTTCCAAAAAGAGGACTGGGTTAAACATCAGGATGTCAAGCTCCAGGCCTTGAAGGCATTTGGGATTCCCTCAGGCTTTCTGTTCTCCGCCTTACCCCACCCAGTAAACACAAACCACCTCCACCTCCTGTCTCCACAGAAGATGGGCTCTGTATCTCATGGTACCACTCAGCAGCTTAAGGGGACAATTGCATGCAACCTGCATGTGTATTTTTGAAAGCACTGGTATGCATTATTCAACACACATCACAGGCATGCTGGTACACTACATTTCTGACCATCTCAGCACATACAGACATGAAACAACCTCTGGATTTTTAGAAAAGAAGGAAAAAGAGAGAGATCTGCCTGGAAAGTAAATGCAGATCAGATGTTGTTAAAAACTTCTTAAACTGCCAACAAAGTATTTACTTAAACTCAGAACAGAAAGTCACCTTCAAGATGGGTGATTCTCATGAAAGTGGCTTTATTTTTAAACACCCCATGTCTGGACCTACATGATTATACAGGACTCTGAACCAGATTTTTGTTTTTAAAGCAAGGACTTGATTCCAGACTTTCTTCTCAGATGGAAAAGAAATGGAAAACATGCACTTGAAAGGCTCAAAAAGCAGAATGAAAACAAAAAGCATTTCAAATGCATAAAGACAGAACCCAAGCCTCATAAACAGCTGGGACCAGCAACATTGCTTCACCTAAATGCTTTTTTCTTCTACTTAGTAGGAGATGTTTCCCAAGACTTAAAGTAAGCGTTGTTTTGTATCTGCAGGGCTTTCAGCAAGCAGCTGCCACGTTATGAAACTCTCTGGATTCCAGCAATGCACATCTCTGCTGTCTGCTGCACTCGGGGTATCTGGGAAGAGGGGGAGGAAAACAAGCTTATCATTTATGAAGTTATTGCTGGGTTTGTGGTTGCAAGGCTTTCTGCAGTGTACAAGAATAACTTGTTTATGACTTCAGTAAAATAAGGATACACAACCTAGAGCACGTGGTCCTCTCTGTGGGTACCGCTCTCATGCTTTGCCAAGTAACACTAGGGTTTATCCAAAGTTGAAGTCTCAGGGCTTTAGGAAGGGGAATTAGGTCCTCAATGCTACACATTCCCCTCCTCTGAACTATAGCTAGCACCACCCTAGTGAATAAATAACAGCCTTACTCAAAGCCAAACCATTCCTGTCTTTAAGGATATGAAGCTGCAGACAATGCCATTGCCTCTCTCATCCAGTCCTTCCGGTCCTGAAGGTGGTGACTATGCTTTCTTTTCCAATGGAAAGAGGTGCCTTAAAAGCAGACTTACTAGAGACTGTCAAAACCAATCTCCACAATCACACCTGTCCCAGTGCTATCAGCTTTCCAGACAGGCTTGCCAAGTTGGCATTTGCCTAGCTAAGAAGATGGGTTCAGCACACAATGCCAGGTTCTACTTCTTGGTCACTAAAATGCTCAAGTAACAAACTGAGTTGACCATTGTTTCTCACCACCAAGCAAACAAACTCCATTGGCAGGAAAACTGTCCTTGGAAAGTGATTCCTTGCATGACTGAGATGGGCTCTGACTGCTATTGACTGACACCAATCCTCACATGATGCTGGACTCCAGGGGGTCATCAGGACACTGTCAAAAACCCTTGCCTACAATCTGATTTCAATGCCTTGCTTTCAGTCCACCTTCTGTTGCTCTGCAGGCCATGCTTGTTAATACAGGAATAACTGTGCAAGTGCAAGATTTTCAGTCATAACTGGCTTTTCAGTTCATTTTTTGCACAGCCATATATAAGATGCTGGATCAAACAAAGAAACAACTGCCAAATAACTGATTTTCAATTTGCACACACTGTTTACAAGCAAACATCCACAGTGTTCACAAATCAGTCCGTAGCCTTTTCCCTTCCAATCAGTATGAAATACTAATTGGCAGACAGACTAGCATGCCAGACAAAAGAGCTTTTCCCATTGAAATCAGTGGGAATTCTCCTATGCACTTCAAAGGGTAGAGAAGGCTGTTCCCAGCAAGCACGTCCATTTTACGGCCTCATCAATGCCAACCTCCTGACCTGAAAGCAGAAAATGTGAATCACAACAAAGTGGCCCAAAGCACAAGTGTTGTCCTTGCTGACCACACAACAGACAGGACACAGGAGATGTGCTTCCACCCTCTGCAGGTTCTCTGCTGGCCTCCAACCCAACAGGCAGGTGAGACTTGGAGTGAGGTGGAAGCAGGCTACCTGAGGGACTGTCAGTTTCCTACCCTAGGTTTTCCTCAGAGGAAAAAGGAAATAGTTCTGGAACAATGGCAGGAGGATGCTTTAAATAACTATCAGAGAGGTGCCGCTTACTGGAAGCTGGGAGTTTTACCACAGGTCTCTTGGCAAAACGCAGGCTTGGATCCCGTAGCTGGTGGGTCCACAGTGTGATAGTGCCCGAGAGAGCAAAACCACCGTCATTGATCAGCAACAGCCACGGTCTCCCTCACTTTACCCATCCACAACCAGTCGCAGTGCAGTAGTAAGAAGGAAGCTCTCAACCTGGGAACAAGCAAGGAATTGCTATAGCCTGCTGCGGCTGCGTTAGCAGGATTATGAACCTTTACTGCCAGTTCTGAAGCAAAGGGAACGAGGCAGGCAATGTGTGCAGGGCATCAGCAACATGTGAGACTACAGCACACCCGGGTGCTGTGCACAGACAGCGAACCTTCCTCCACCGACCCTGGGCCGGTTATTCTGAGGGAACTGCTGCCACCAGCAAATGACCTCCAAAGGCGAGCCCGGTGGCGGTGGAGGGGATCACAGGTGCACTGGCTGAGCAGGCTCGGCGACATTTAAACCCTCGGTGTTTGAAAGACGCCGGCTTTTACTACTGTTTACATGCTGATCAGCAGGATGATTCACGCCTCACATCCCCGGGCGCTGCCTTGCAAAGCAAAGCAGAACCCGCACGCCCTGGCCCAGCGGGTCGATGGACGGTGTCCGCTCTGAGGCGCAGGCCCGGCGGGGCGGGGAGGCAGCGGCAGGCAGCGAGAGCGGGCAGGCCCGCGCAGGTTGGAGCACGCCGCTCCACCGAGGGGCCCCGGCCCGGCCGCCCCGCGCCCCCGCCCCGGGTCAGCCGTGCTCCGCGTCCCGCTGCCCGCCCGTCCCTCCGGCGGGTGGTGCGGCGGTGGCAGCCAGCACCCGCCCCAGGACTACAGCTCCCAGCATGCGCTGGGGCCCCGTAGGCGGTCTGACCACGGGGTCGCCGCGCAGTGCATGCCGGGAGCTGTAGTTCTGCCCGCCACAGCAGCGCGCATGCGCAGAAGGAGCCGCCATGCCGGAGGTGAAGGCTGCGTTCCAAGAGGTACTGCCCAAGCAAGGTACGTGCAGCGGCCGGGAGGGTCCCCGCAGCCGGCCCGGCCCCGGCGCTCACCCCCAGCCCTTCTCTCCCCTCGCAGGGCAGCTGTCGGTGGAGGACACGGCCTCCATGGTGCTGTGCAAGCCCAAGGTGCTGCCGCTCAAGTCGGTGTCGCTGGAGAAGCTGGAGGCGCTGCGGCGGGCAGCGCTGGAGGCAGCGGCGCGGCAGGCTGAGCAGGCACCGCAGCCTCAGCCCCAGCCGTAGCCCAGGCGCCAGGGAGGGGGCCGGTGCCCTGAGGTGTCCGTGACTCGGAGGTACGCGCTTGTAACGGAGCTCGCGGATTAAAGACTGGCCCAGAGTGAGGGGTGCTGCTGGAGCGGGGAGGCGGCGACCCGTGCCCCGGCGTTCCTCCTGTGGAAGCTTCACTTACCGCTTTCTGGGCTCGCCAGCTCCGACGGGCATCATAGCCCCGGCAGGCGCAGCGCTAGGCCCGGGCGGATTAAGGTGGGGAGGGAGGGCCGTTACACCACCCCATGGCTCCGGTAATGGCTTACCGGGCTGGCTCGGGAGCGGCGGCACTCGTCTCTCCGGCCCTGCCACGGCAGGTCCCGGTGTTGCTGAGCACCCGGAGTCGTAGCACCAACGTGAAAACATGTACGGGAGCAGGAGGGGCTCTGCGCTGTCGATGTAAAGTCTTCCTTGGCTCGGTCTTGTTCTTGAGCAGAGGCACGTTGGCAATACACACACACCAGAGCATCTCTGCTGCACCAGCCTGACTTCTCCTCCCCAGGCACTTTTCTCAACAACATACTTGATAAATACTTTCCATGAGTTGAATTAGTTGGTGCTTTGCTGCAGATTGTCATTGTCATAGAAAAGGGCACAGTTAGATGCACAGCTCACTTGCACACACTTCAGAATGTACAGTTACACTTGTTCCGTTTTGAAAATCAAAGGAGGCAGGAAAAACAGCATCACAAAAAATATTTTTAATATGTTTTACCAGAACTTTTCACTTTTCCAGTTACATAGAAAAAAAAAAAAAAAAGACAAGTTTGGTACACAGGGGCTAAAACCAACCAGTGTTCTCCCCTGGAACAGATGCATTACTCTTATGACCCAACTCCATTTTCTTGGGCTCTTTAAAACAAAGAAACAGCTTTTTTTTTTTCTCCCAAAGCACAGTATTTCTTCAGCAGCAATGGAAATGGGATCACAGCAGCTTAACTTGACCCTTCTATAAAGCTTTGTATAAACAGTGATTTTATGGTGACAACACTGTCCTTGAAAGAGCGAGCTGCAGTCAGACATGGATGCAGATGTGGAATGATTAGGTCATACACATATGGCACTTGAAACGATAGCTTATTGGAAGGCACCACCACAGCAGTGGCCAGTTGTTCTACCAGATGCCCAAAGAAAGAAATTCTTTTCTTTCTGAAATTTATAAAACTATTGAGGAAAAGAAAAAGATTGTACCCAAAACATGTGCTTTTAAAAAAATATGAACTGTGCTAAGCAACTCTTAAATTTGGTACATTATATATGTGTATACATATATACATACACACACCAGAAAAGCATGCGTGTTTGCATATATATATAGATACCTATTTCCCTTTCAACATTTAAGGCTTCAGGAGCTGGTTCTCACATTCAGTAGCTCTCTAGCTTAAGACGACCTCCGTCTCCTTCACTCACAAAACGCTTTCTGCCCCTGCAAGAAAGGGGAAAGTATGATTTTAGTTCACAGTAGTATCACTGCTTTGTTCTTATCACAATTATCTAAGAATCTTCTCTTGGTCACAGAATAACAGAATGGTTTGGGTTGGAAAGGACCTTAAAATCATCCAGTTCCAACCCACCTGCTATAGGCACGGATGCCTCACACTAGACCATGTCACCCAAGGCTCTGTCCAACCTGGCCTTAAACACTGCCAGGGATGGAGCATTCACAGCTTCCTTGAGCAACCCATTCCAGTGCCTCACCACCCTCACAGTAAAGAACTTCTTCCTTATATCTAACCTGAACTTCCCCTGTTTCAGTTTGAACTCAGTTCCCCTTATCCTATCACTACAGTCCCTAATGAAGGCCATCAAATGGAAGACTTGCTCATCCAGCAGTATTACCTAACATTCCTAATCACCGATAAATTACTTAAAATCCATCTGAATCTTGCAGCCAGGTTTATTTGCGAGAAGCTTGTCAAAAATTTCTATTGTCAAGTACTTTCTACTTTGCTCAGCTTTGAATGTTGACACTTGCAAAAGATGCCAAGTTTGAAAGTCTGGGAATGTTGTTTCTACCCCAAACTGAAGTACATAAGCAAGAAATGTCATCCCGCCCCAGTGTATTACTGGTAACTGAAATACAATGAAGCTTTTGTTGCAGTGCTTTCAGCCCTCCCACAACCCAAACCTGCAAAACATTCAGTACCAAAATACTCAAACTCAATTTTCAGCCTGAAGTCCACAAACAGGCTGGTTTGGGTAAAGACACCAACATTTCAAAATCTGAAGTTACCTCAAACTGTCAGGATAGTTTAACAAGCCCAACAAAACATCCAAATAGGAAAATATCTAATAAATAGTATTCCTGATGCATAAAGTTTTGAGTAATAGATTTAACATCATATTTTAAAATTTGCATGTATTCCCCACATGAAATGAAACTCAGAAGGGCTATGTGACCAGTAAGGAGGGAACAGAATACTGATCAGTTACACTTCAAACAGCATTATTTATACTACAGATAAGAAAACAACAACCCAGAAGCACTGTGCAAACCACAGGAGAGATAGGAAGGCATCAGATTGTACAGCTTTTTCCAGATTAAGCGTTCTATACCTTTGACATAAACATTATTAATGGTCTTGTCTTAAAACTCTATTCATGCCGTTTGGCGAGTTTAAACCAATTTTTAATTATTTCTTTTCCCCACTATAGCTCACAGTTTTTCACTGTCAACAACATGGATCGTTGTGACACCTGAAGCTTCCATCTCAGTACTGCACTGATCCCTACCAAGCAGATTAGCAGAACAGAGAAGAAGCAGGCCTTCATTCCCTGGAGGGCACACAGGCCTGCAACAGACTCATTGGAGGCTTATTTTCCTCAACTACTTATCCCATAACAGGATAACCATAACATCTTAATAAACTTTTTACCAGTCCAGCCTTCTGGGTCTCTGTCTGCCATAGTTTCCAGTATCAATCTGTAATACTTTGATCATAAAATCCTGCTTTCTGTTACCTGCAGTGGGGACAAAAAGCAGTGCTTTCACCCATCTACAGTAAAACAAGTACCTTGAAGGACAGAGGTCTCTTAGTGGTTTGGGGATTATTCCAGCCTGAAAGCATTCCTCTACAAACCGCTCAAGCACAGAATAGGAGTGTGGCACATCCAGGTTGATATCTGGGATTTCACAGTAAACTCGTTCATAGCCCTGCAATGTAAGAATTCAGATAATCACCTGGTTATTCCAGGATTTGATTACACAAATACCCTTTGGCACTCTCAGGATTTATTTTTCAGTATGGGTCCATGGACAGTTTCAAGAAGCCTAAATCAGAGCAGCTGCAAGTCAGTGGAATACCATGATACTGCACAGCCACCTATGTACATAAAAGCACCAGCTGAACTTTTATTGTCTTTACAAGTCAGAAATCCAGACAGTACAGAATGGGTATGCTAGCCTGGTCCAGCCACTGTTGCATGAGTAGTAATATAAGGAAGAAGACTTCACTTTTCTTCCATGTAAATAAAGACAACGTGGCCACAAATCTCCACCACCACAGTTTATGCAGTGAGGGAAACACTGGTGACAACCAGAGCTGATTTTATCACTTCCCCCAGCAGTGTGGCTGGGTAAATTCTCACACAAGCCTGCGTGGTACCTGGTTTGCTCTGGGACAGGACTGCTGTCCTGTATTCATACCTAGGATTCCAAGTGTGTGTGTGTGTGTATATATATATACACACACACACACACACACACACACACACACACACACACACACACTTCTGACGTAATTAAGTGGGTCCTCACTGAACTACTGTAATTATGAAGAACTGCTGGATAAAAGGGAAAATTGTATTTAAGCATTTTACTACAAAATACTATGGCATGTAAAATTACTTGTTATAACCATTTAATTGCATAAAAATACTTGAAAAATCTTTGACTGAAGATTCCAAGATTCTGTACCTCACAGTTCTACAGAGAACTGCTGCTTGGAAGTCATTTCTAATTTTTCCAGTTCAGGGCAAGTATTGTACATGTATCAATGACAGATTATTTCTGTGGTATACAGAACAACCATGGAGAATTTAAAAGTGGCAGTCAACCACAAACTGTACTTTAAAGAAGGTAAAAGCGATACAAAATTTTGGAAGACCTTACCCAAAATTCCCTAAACGCTATACTTACTCTTTTCATTTGGTCCACAGTAATGACAGAAGATTTCCAGAGAGATTTCAGCAAATCCAGTATCATTTTAAATGTCTTTTCCCCAGTTGACTCCAAAACCATTACAATGGCCTAAAACAAACAATACAAGTGTTAACTAAAAAGAAAAGAGTGGTTCACGTACATGTCGTGTACAGCATACAAGGTGTAAAAAGTAGTGAGTATGTTGCTATGTTTTCTGGGGAGACAAGCCCAGCTGTTCCACACACACACAATTTCAGTGTATTATTATTTGAAAAGAAAAACTGATGAGTGATTCAGATAAAGATAAAAGGCATGAAAAAACAGAAAGAACTAAAAAGAAGAGCACTGCCTTTCTGGCTCTGCACTGAGAGATCCATGACTATACCCATATGGCTGCTGCAGTACAGATGGCAATTAATTCTATGAAATTAATTTTGTATCTATGATTCTTTTTTGTATCTGTGATTTTAAAGAACTTTTAAATTTACAGATCTGCACAACCCCCATCAACTAAAAAGATTCTGGGTTTCTATTGCGAAGGAATTTTCTAAAACAAGTCAATGTACTGAAAAAAAGAAAATAAAATTGTAGGTTGTGGGTGTTCAGCTTTCCTGGTAAACAACCATCTCCTAATTTGGCAGATAAAAGAGAACAAATGGGAACATCTCCCAGATATAGCAAAGATCTTTCTCTCTTATGGTCTCATTCTGAAATATCTTGGAGCTTTTACAAATGTTCTAGATGGAACAATCCCACCCTAAAAAGGCAGCTCTGCACCTTAACATGAGCAGGTGAATACCCAGTTATCCAAAACTAAAAGGAAACAGACACCAAAACAATGGGGGGTTTTGCTGCTTCTCCTCAGCAGAAAATAAACTGATCTCTTCTTTTTTTAGGAATCTGTAATATCTGAATTCAACTATTTACCCAACAAATAATTTTGGATGTTCCCAGAGTCAGCAGCAGCTTAATTGTTGCACAATGTGCACAACAAACACATACACAAACCATTAACTTTACATTAAACTATTTAGTTATTCAAATAACATCAGAACAAGCAACCTGAGCTTCAGATTCCAGTTAGAATATTTGCATCCCCAAATCCAAACAAAACCAAACCTGTTCATATTACAGACAATTAAAGAGACTCTGATTTCTCCTTACTTCATATACAAGTTCATGGTGAAAATGGGGTACTTCCAGTTCCTGAAGGCAACGTTCAGCTTCCAATACATCTCCAGAAAGCAGATACTCTTTCAGCAGCATATCAATCTATTGGATTTTAAAACAAACATAACAACAAGCACTAATTAGATGTAAAAGCTGTCAACTGTTCTGATAATCTATAACCAGCCCAGCAGCAGGTCAGTGCCTGAAACTTGCTGCTAGTGTTTTTATAAGTGTGATTAAATTCCGATGTTAATTGAGACATTATCAACAACCTGAAACACTGTGTAAGCAAAATACCTATCCATAGTGTTAATACAGACATACAAGCACCACAAACATTGCTTTCTAAGATGCATGTCACCATAAAAGGTTAATAGGGAGCAACTAAGTTTATCTTTTCTCCTGAACTCCTCCTCCTACCATCTGTTACGCTCACAACCCAGAAACTGTAACACAAACTTTTCCTTTAAACCTGCCTATTTCATAGCATGGATCTCTAAACATTCCTGTTTCTTCCTCTCTCTTTTTCATTTATTACTGTGCTTTTAATCCATGATGCCAAATAATAATAATAGTCTATCAAGTTTATCCAGTTTCATCCTGGCTCTTCTAATTATTTCACCATTTTATATTAAAAGCCCTTAAAAAGATAAGTGCTTAAAAGTTTTGTTTAAAGCAGAAATAAATGTATACCTGCAATTGTACTAGCGTGTTCCCACCCTTACGAACATTACAAAATCAACTTAATAGCCTGCATCAGGTTTTAAAAACTACTTTATATAAATAAATTACAATTCTTAAAAAAAAAAAACACAACAAAAAAACCAACCCAAACCCAACACTCAAGACATCATTTTGCTACAGGATATGCTTAATGTCTTCATTCCAAACAAGAGAGGCTTAGACAGACAGCAAATTCCAGAAAGAAGAGTTTTGTAGAAGCAGTTACCTCTTTAACCAGGTGTTTCACAGACTGCTGCCCACCTCCTGACCCCCATACGCTGTCTATACGCTTTCCACCCTTGGTCATGCTCAGCAACACGGTAGCTCGATCCAGTGCAGCTCTAGAAAGCAAAGTTAGTTTGAAAAAGTTATTGCAGAACTTCATTAAAAGGCATCTCTAACCTCCCCCACTGCCATTCCAGTTTGGGCAAAGTGACCAGATCCCTGGTAAGGAGTCAGGGTTAGCAAATCCACAGGAACATCTGGATCAAGCAGCCAGCAAGCCATCTCCCCACATTCTGTCACCTTTTTGGTTATACCATGCTGTGGTCAGGAAACAATTCCGTGATAGCAACACATCTAAATCATCAATACAGAAACTGAAGCATCCTCACAAGAACTTAGTATTTTCTTATTCAGAGGTGGATTATATCCAGGCTCCTCCAAGAATGCAGCTTGGCATGTGTGTCTCAAAAGAGGTTTGAGATGCCTGTCTACTGAAATACTATTTTCTCTTTGGGTCTAAAGAATTATGAAACCTTGACAATTTAAGCCAAAACAGTACTTCAGAAGGCAAGTATGTAGTTGCAAAGAGACAGCATGAACTAGGGAAGTCTGCCAGTTCGTTGAGAAAAGAATGAAAAAGGTGAAAAAAAAAGAAGTTTCAGATCCAGTTAAGCACTATCCAGCTAATGAAGGGACAGTTATCCCAATCCCCATACTGGGAGCTGGCCAATAACAGTAACACTATTCAGCAAGATTTAATGAGCAGAAAAGACCGGCCAAGAAACAGCAAAGGCAGCAAAGCATCCCAAGGGGGGCAGTATTCAGGCTATGGTCCTTCAAAGTGCAGGAGACACTTGTAGAACTGGAAATTTCCAACCCTTGAACCCTCAAGTTAGGCAGCTAAGCATTTCCATTCCTTACAGAAGTAACCAACCATAGCCATTGCAAATGGCACTTCCAGGAGCTAAAAGAGTTCAACAACTTTATAACAAGCTTGAAACATACATTTATGGCGGGGGGGGGGGGGGCAAATAATAAACCATGACTAGTTATTAAAATGTTCCTTTTTGCCAGAGACTGCTCCCTAAGCTTCTCACCCTGACATGGAAAACAATTACATGGAAAACAATTATACTTCTTGAAAAAATAAATAAAGCATTACAGAGAATGTCTGGGAAAGCACTGCATGTGCTTCAAACCTTTATAAGGCAAAACAGTTAATCCCTTGTGTATTTTCACAACATATTTACAGCAGCTGTCCTGATGCTATATTTACTCATTAATCACATTAAAGCTTCTTCTAAAGACAAAACCTTTTATAATCACTTCTTGTTTCAGCTCTTATTTTTCCACCCTCAAACATGAGCTGGACAACAAGCCTGACAAACTGAACTCAAACGTATTCACACATTTTTGAGGTACTTTCAGTACTTCTCCTCTGACCAAAGTCACTCTAGATTTTGGTGTTGTTCTTGTTGCAGACTTTGTGGGTTTCTTTTTTTAAGTTTTAAAATAAGAAGTCATAGCAAGTGACTTCATTTATCCTGAAGTCCTAAATTCCTGATCAGCATCTCTGGCATTTGGAATAGAAAACTGTAGCTATATAGAAAGCAAGAAAGTTACCGAGCTTGGATGCAATCCACAGTGCCTTTGTAGCCATCTATGTAGGTACTGCTTAGAATCCCATCTCCAACAGCTCTAGCAATAAACTGGCCCACCAACTGCAACACAACAGAAGCGGTTTTAATTAGATGTTGAATTTCAAAGCAGTTCTAAGTAGACAATTATAACATGCTTGGGTTTCAGATTTTATTTAAGTAAACCATCTCAAAGTAAAAGCTCAGCCTGAGAAATTAGCAAGGGATTATAAACAGTACAAAAATCCATAGGTATTATTCAAACTAGAGACTGTTTCAGTGCTCTTGATTAATTTTAACAAGATTTTAGAAGAAAAAGCTTTTGACTACAAGCATAAAACTTCATAAATGTACCTGTGGTGCCCTGGGAGAATCCAACACCAATTCAGGTAGTTCTTTAAGCAATCTATCAAATGACTTTTCCACATCAGTTTTGCTTACTACTGTCCCACAAAGGTCGGAGATAAGCTTGGATGTCATTTCCCTGTGACTAGCCTTCCCCTCTAATGCCAGGGAGACAGCCAGCACTGGCACACTGTATTTCATTTCACCAAGATTTAAATCCTTCAGCATCTCCTAAATAAGATTTGAAAAGCACAGATGATTAATATATTATATAAACTTGTAAATACAAGCATCTAAATATCTATGTATATTATGTATTTACATATATGCTTCTGCTCATGTAATTAATATAACTACCGAGGTATTCTTACTGCACGTTTCTTGCCAACATCTCTATACGCTCGTTTACAGCTAACAGAGTAAAGCAGTTAGCAGCTAGATAAAGAAAGAAAAAGGTACTGCACATACCGAAACTTCATTAGTATCTCCATGTTCAAAATACTCCTGTATGATTGGTGTCAAAGTTTTTTCAAATGCTCTTTCATCCAGAGGTAAAACTACAGTTTCATAGACACAGTTCTCCTATTTTAAAAGACAACAAAAGCACATAGCCCTCTTGTAAGCAGTACTGTCTCTTCAAAATGTACCTTCTAAATTCTTAATACTTTATTAGCCTTGGTAGTCAGTATTCTGACAAAAACCATCAGATTATGCCTCTACCATTAGAGTCTGGAAGATGATGGCTAAATGTCATGCTTCTTATATTCTGAATATACTGTTAGCTGAACTCAACTGAAAGGCTGAATTTGCTGTTAAACAATGGTAAACACTCCAAACTCTGTTCCTAGGATCCTGCTGACACCACATAAACGCAGAGATCAAGTGCTTACGTACCAAAGGGAGAACAACAGAAACTCCTGTCCCAGCCCAGCACAAGACTGAGCTGTCAGCACCTTTCCCTGCAAGAGGCACTCCAGTCCTTGACAGCAAGCCTGCCTGTGTTCTCTCTTCCCTAGTGACTGTGTGACCAGACAGGTGATAGCATGTACGATTCAGAGAAAAGGCATTTTCAGAATATTTGTGAGCAAAGACATTCCCTAAGGGGAAAAAAGAATCACACAGCAACTGCCTCCTGTACGACCTGGTCCTGCAGAGTTCTAGCATGAGCAGATTCCCCTGCTGTAATTCAGTTCTCTACTCCTCACAGACTACAGAAGTAACACTTACAGCAATACTACAGATCACAGAAATCTGAACAAAGCAGCTTTCCAACTAGTGCTTATTGGAAAGAAGCTTCCCATGATCAAGAAGTATAGCTTAAGTCCAAAAGCCTATCCTTCCATCACATCAGTCTCTGTTTACACAACCTTAAAAAAGCTGAGCATACAGAAGTTCAATGGAATACTGATTCTTCATTAAACTTTCTTTTAAGGACTCACCAGCTTCATTTCTCATAGCTATCTCTGTTAATGTACAGCACTGAACTGTAGGGGAAAAAAATAGTACTGGAAGGTTCTGACATTCTCACACACCACCCTCTCAGCAGCTATGGCTACAGCAAACAGCCTCTCCTCAAAGGACACCACCATTGCTCTGTTTACATTACAGAGAATTTACTCACGGTCTGACAATTGTATTGATCTTAGATACTTCAGTAACCTGTGTTGGTAATCAGTGTTTCCTCTGTGACTTCATGTTATAAAGCACCCTTTGCCCAATGAGCTTTACTTCCCTCCCCTCCTTCTGCCCCCAATAATCACTGTAAGGTACAATCTTCCAAAACATACCCTAAATAAATACCTGTAAACAAAATATCCAGGCTATCAACTTTGCACCAGTTTGAAGTGTTTATACCAAGTAGATACAAAACATTGGGACGGTTGGGAATATAAGGGAGAGAAAAAAAATCTACAAACGATATTTCCCCCTACTAAACCTACTTGACTCACTCTGTGTCACATTTTTAATGTAGTGCTGTGCTCTATTGCAAACAGGCACCGCAACATACACCTCTTTGAGAGCCAAAGTGAAAACAACACCTAGGAAAAGGCTGCTGGCTAACCAGGCACAAAAAGAGGGTTTGGGGGGTAAGATTTGTGACTATTACACCATGACACTTCTACACCAGCTGTCTTTAACTAGACATAATCCACTCCTGAACATAAAACAGGCATCTAGTACAGTCAGCGTGACATGCATATAACTCACAAGGTCAAACTGCCATTAACATGAGAGCAACTGAAATCAATAAAGGAAATAAAAAACAACCCTGCAAAGAAATTATTTGCCTACCTGGTCATCATCATAATTAGGATCCTTAATATCTACTTCTTCCACATCATACACTTGACCTGGTGTTCCCCAAACTCCTTTACCACCTGCTCCACCTGGCAAAACATGTGACAGTAAGCAAGAACCACCAGCTTACAAAGAATACTTCTGAGTTCAACCCAACTTTCTCTCACTTAAGAGTGATGTATATACACTGAAAAGTGTGCTTTTATCACATGTTCCCACTTCAGCAACCACTTTCCACTATGATACTAGAAGCGGTATAAAACTGCACAAGAACTGCTAAAGGCTGAACTCTGTACCTTGAAATCTAACCATGCTTTACGGCTGCATTAATAGCCCTGTGAACCACCAACAGTTCAAGTCTGCATATTAAATTTGTGAAGAGAGAAGTTAATGGATGATACACATACCAAATTTTCTGATAAAAATGTCACCTATTATTGGCTTCTATCACCACCTACTGCCTAACATAAAGAACCAAACACCTGCACAGAGACTGTGGGCTATGAAAATGATTCCCAGTAGAAAAATAATACTATGTTTAGGACAGAATCTTTATCATGCTACTCTCTTTGCTAAGCTACACCAACCTTTCTTTGGTAGACCTCTTCCCTTTCCAGACCGGGATCTCCTGTCCAGGAGTTTCCCCTTTGGGCTCGTTGGTGCAGCTCCAACCTTCAGCGTCTCTCCATTGTCACTAACAGAGTCTCCTCTCCCAGAATCTCTGGAAGAATTCTTCCTCAAGCGTCTCTTTGCTTTAGCATTTATTTTGGCCTCAGTAATTGAAGTTGCAGGAATCCAATTTCCATTGATTTCAGTCTTTCGTTCCTCAGACCCACCATTTTCTTCATCACCGGAAAATGGAGCATCACTTAGATTCTCAAGTTCTTAAAAAGGAGACAGAGAAAAAATCTGATATAAACAGTATTATGTTAGAATACCAAAACATGCTACATTTAAAATGGATTACAATATTAAACAAAGCTCTTATTTCCAACAGCATTAAGGCAAATAATGTTAACTTTGAAGTATGTCTGCACATCACAGTCATAAGGAGTTCCTTATTCCCCCACACAAACCATCCACAATCTAAAGAGAACATATGTCAAGAGTTGGAAAGCAAATGAAGAAACCATTTATAAACAGGTAAACCACAGAAAACCCCACCCTTGTTAAACAAAAACTATCAGAAGTCCTCAGTGCAGAAGCTCCAAGTACCTAATTCTCACTTCACCCACTCAGCTTGATTTAAACACAAACAAAACTGCCAATACAGTAAGTTCTGTAAGAAGTCAGTAATGTTAACAGACTAGTCAATACCGTGAAATTCATCTCCTAAATCATCAACCAACATCCTCCCCACTGAGGGAATTTCAAATACAGTTCAATAGCTGGTAAAGCAGTAATTTAGACTTACAGGAATACAAACCCATCATTATTTTTATTTTTTTTGTGTTTTAAGTTATAAAAGAAAAAAGCTGTTTAATCCAAAGGGTAGGGAGTTCAGTAACAAAGACTCAGAGAATAAAGTCTTTTGAAACTCTACTCTGCTCTCCTGAGACCTCACTCGGAGAACTGTGTACAGTTCTGGTGTCCTCAACATAAAAAGGACATGGAACTGTCGAAACAAGTCCAGAGAAGGGCCACGAGGATGATCAGGGGACTGAAGCACCTCCCGTATGAAGATGGGCTGAGAAAATTGGGGCTGTTCAGCCTGGAGAAGAGAAGGCTGCATGGAGACCTCATAGCAGCCTTCCAGTATCTGAAGGGGGCTTATAGGGATGCTGGGGAGGGACTCTTCATTAGGGACTGTAGTGACAGGACAAGGAGTAACAGGTTCAAACTTAAACAGAAGTTTAGACTGGATATAAGGAAGAAGTTCTTTAATGTGAGGGTGGTGAGGCACTGGAATGGGTTGCCCAAGGAAGCTGTGAATGCTCCATCCCTGGCGGCGTTCAAGGCCAGGCTGGACAGAGCCTTGGGTGACATGGTTTAGTGGGAGGTGTCCCTGCCCGTGGCAAGGGAGCTGGAACTGGATGATCTTAAGGTCCTTTCAAACCCTAACTATTCTATGATTCTATGAAAGAGTGTGATCTCCCTTCTCTATGGATTGCCCCTCAGTGTAGCTTCTATCAAGATGGTTTCTAAAATGGCCATGGTTTGCTTCCTAGAGCAATCATATAATAGGTTTGTTTCATATAGAGTAGCTCTGTTCAATACCCAACAAAACACTCTCTCACAACTTGAGGAACTTGCAGTTGTCTCAGAGCACCGGAAAGTGCAACCATTTCACTCTTTCAGGAAGTGAATGCACATTTAAAATTTGGATCTAAAGTCTTCTGTTTCACAAAGGTAGGATGTCCCCCACCTGAGCCATGTGATTCAGTAGAATGTCTTACTGACTGCATTATAAGCAAAAGTCTTCGTAAGCTCTTCTTACCCTTTTTAACCCATCAAGATAGAAAAACACCCCTGGAGAACTATTTACTTCCCAGTTAGTACCCTGGCTGTTCTTGAAATTTGTAAAACACACAAAGGGCACAGCCTCAGCTCTGTTACACAGCCCTTCTTTTCTTGAGGATTCAGTGGAGCCTCAAAATACAAACTACAGCCCCAAACCTAGGAAGTGCTGTGATGAGGCACACAGAGAAAGCTGCTTTTCCAGCTGTGCCAAGCCTGCTTTACAGAAAAGCTGACTGTCATAAACCCAGAATATGAAGAGCATTTTGAATTTGTATTTTAACTTAGCTAAATGTATTACTTCACCATGCCAATACATTCTCATTAGCAATGTTCAGTTGGCAACACTTCTCAGAACTGTTTTTTCATCCAAAACAGGTTCATGAAGAATTGTTTTGAAAGCAAAGTGCACTAATAAAACATTTCCAACCTCAAAGTATGTACCTATATCAAAGGGGATAGTACAGTACAAAATGAAGAAAGTTTGATGCAACTGCCTCCTTCCTGATCAAAGAAGCAACATTTAGATATTAGTGTTCACAGATGTGAATGCTATAGCTGAACAATAATGCAGCCATTCCAGTTTAAGCTTCATTTTTCCACTCATTACTCCCACAAAAGCATTCCTTTTACGCTTGTAGCAAGCTAAAAAAGAAAAGCATGTACCACGTCCAGGGAAAGATTTGCCACAACAGGCTTTCTCAGTTTGTCTAACATTTTAATAAAACAATGAGAGATTTCCATAAAGCTAGCAGAGAGGGTGAAAAAAAAAAAAGGCAAAGCCAAACAGGTTTCCTTCCTCTCATTCCCTGGGGAGATGCCATCAACACACTCAGAAAAATGAATTTAAGTTCTTCTTCATGTCCACTCTCCCATGATTTTTTCCAGTTTAGACCTGCCATCTGGCCCTCCAGGAACTACACTTCTCAGTGAGCACTTACTTCCCAGTTTCTAAACAAAATGGCCAGCCATTAACACAAGCCAGTCCTGAATGTGGTGACCCTTACAAGGGGAGGCTACAGTCCAACCTCCTTACACAATCCTGACCTCAGGTTCAAAGACTAAAGGAAATCCTACACAGGAAACATCCAGCCCCTAAGACTTTGTATTTCTCACTGCATTACTAAACTAGTTTTTTATATAACACTATTGCTTCCAGCTGCAACCTCTTTCTTCATAGTAATATAAACAACTGGCCCTCCACCATTAGTAACCTCACTGGGCTGAGAAAGAATAGGTTAAACAGATGTGGTAGCATAAAAAGTACACAAAAAATGATGCAGATCTTCTTTCTCCTTCATATACACATACATAAGCAATAACAGAGTCATATGAAGACTTTGCTTACTATCTATCAAAAGTTATCCAAATTTCTCTTATTACCCTGATACCTCGCAGGCATCCTTAAAACCCATGCTCTTCTGGTGTCACCTAACTAACAAAGCATCCAGCAAGTACCTACCTACACACTGATTTCATTTGACCAAATTAGGTCAGTTTAGATATCTAGCAGTTTCCCCAACTATAATCCAACTATAACTCTATAATGCTGAAAAGCAATAGATCTACATTAAGCTAATTAAGGTTCAAAATAAGAGGTCAGATGGAGCATGTGGCCTCTTCAACTGCATTACATACCATTTTAACACATATATGGTTCCCCCCCCCAAAAAAAAAACCAAACCTTTAAAAGCTACAAAACCTCCTAGGTACAAGAAGGTCAGTGCAGATCATCACAACCCTTGGAAGACACAGAAAAGCACATGAAACTCTATTAACTTGACTAAACATCATAAAAGGCATCTGCAATATGCACGAACTAGTCAATTTCAGTTCAATCTTTTAACACATACTCAGTACCTTTTCCCATGGCAGCCCACTTCCACTTCAAGCCTCTCATCATTTATTTTCTCTAACTTTAAACTTAATAGCTACATAAAAGCAGAATTTGTACCTTTCAAATGTACCTACGCGTCTTACTTTTGAGTTTATTCTTTTCTTCACACTAGGACTACATGAAGTCAGATGATAAGGAGTCCATAGTCACTATTATTTATTAAGAAATGTTAACTTCATGATTTTAACAGTTTTTGAAATCAATGTAATCAAGCAGGATACTCTGGTATATAACCGAATTCTGCAAATTTCTGGTGAAGATTTTTTAACAAGCATTGTTAAAACATTAAGAGGTAATAAATTCTTTCTACAGAGAACTCTTCAGGTCAGCAATTTTAAGTAAAAAAACTCTGAAAATATTACTTACCTGTGGGGGTGGTAGTAATGTGGTCCTTTTCTAGTTCCATAGCTCCTTAACAGAACTGACTGTGAAATGTAAAGTCTTCAATGCTTTTCTTCCAAGGCCTAAAGAGAAACAGAGAAGCTTAGGGGAAGAAAAGCACTAGACCATATTTTATAGTAAAAAGCTGCAAAGGCTTCATTCACAAAATAAAAAAAAAACAAAAAACAAACCAACCTGGTTTTGGATTGTAAGTTATAATTAACTATTAGCAACCATTAAAAATTTCCTGGTAAGGCAAACGGTGCAACATGAGACAGAACTACCCTCAAACACACCTATCTAAGCCTAGATGTCCTAGCAGCTGTCAGTTCTGTTGCTTATAAAGGAGCCACCAGGAGAAAAGCCCTCTGTATGCAGCTTTTTTTCGTTGATAAAAGCCATCTCTATCAACTTAGACTGTTCTATTCTGCAAAGTGATAATCTATATGAGCATACAGTATCAGTGTTACAATTACATCCACAACAGAAATGTTCTTCACATGAACTATACTGATAAAATGGTACAAATTTATCAAGTTCATACCAGCCCTTAGAACACAAGCATTCCTCCCTCAAGGACACAGTCTTTAAACTTTACTGTATGTGTACATACAGCTGCCAAACTTTCACATCTTGCTTCTGCAACACCCTTCAAACACTCCTCACAACCACCATTCAATCTGCAAGGGATAAAGTTCAACACTCTCTCCCTCCTCCAAGCAGCTACTAATCTACAAACTACCCCATGTCATTATGAAGAGATGGCATCATCCATCTTTCCTTCATGTACACAAAAAATTAAGCAGCCCCAGAATTCCCCATACACTTTCTCACCTGCAAGACTTTCACAGATCACTTGTAGTCCTGTGAATATTACAGGCATTTGTCTGCCCTGTAGGAATGCAGTGGCTCTTTTTTGCTCCCTTTTTTCTCCCCCTTTTTTTCCCTTTGCTGCCCTGAAGACAGTTTCCCATTTGTGACACCAAGTAACAGTGCTCCCTTCCCCTCCTCTTCCCTTGTTTTCCTCTGGTATGGCCACTTGCCTACCACAGACCCATTAACTGCAAATGATTCATCACAGACCGTTGGCAATAAAAAAACCTCATCTAGGGCACAGTACCAAGCTGTCACGACCGTGTATTTCATAACAGCAACCCAAACAGTTAACAGCTTTGTGTAATAACAAGTCCTCCCTTGCACCACAACACTACTTTTTAATAAACATTTTCCTGAGTTACCTCAACCGATCATTCAGGAGTTCTCAAGTGGTCCCAGTCACCGTTGGTTGAGAGATTTTGTTTTCCTGTATGGATCTCAGTCTAATCTGAGCAAACTACCTTGTAAGAACAGTTTTATTCTTTGTAGTGGAATGTTCCATCAGTTGTCCACCTCTTTGAAAAAGAAGACAAAGGACAAAAACCTGTATTAAATAACAATCATGATTTCATCATTTGTAATCAAGACCTAAATTTAAAGTGGAGAAATACTTCTTCCATATAAGATCCCAGTTGAAATTCTCAGCCTATGGCAACGTAGTAAGTAACACCACAACTTTCATATGCTGTCTTTTTGACACTCAGCACCCTGTTTCGTCTGTGATGAGGATGATGGAATAACCAGGCTTTACAATTCATTTTGTCATACTGATCAGGAGAGACACTCTCAATTTAGCAACGCAGTCTCTCATTAACTCAAGCCAACAGGTCTGCTGGGGCTTCAGGATGCTGCTATTTATTACTATAGCAAAACCACCATCACTTCGTATTTTTCATAGTTATGACAGTTACAACCCTGAGCCACCAATCAACTACAGAACACAATTTGAAAATATGCATTAAAAACATCAGAATAAATAGCCCCAAAATTTCATGTCAAAGGAAATAACACAGGAACAAAATGGACAGAATTCAAGTACCTATAACATAAGAATGCTGCAAGAGACTACGATTAAGCACTGATACAAACAGCACTTCTAAAACAGTTCAGGAGACTAGGGTTATTTCCTGAATCTCTGAAAACCACTAATAAAATATACTCAGCTGTGCTCACCACCACTGCACATACTAAGCAATTCTACCACAGCAGGTAAACAGCATCAAATTAATATTTAAGAACAAAACACACTGCAGAAGAAAGCTTCCAAAACTTATCAAGACCGTACACCCATACAAAACACCCCTGAGGAACTTTCACACAGCTTACACCATTTTTCTCATCTCCTTAACATTAAGCAACCCTCCTCCCATCACCAACGCTTTAGAGACCTGCAAACACGGGCTGTTCTGAGGCCACAGCAAGTATAACCAGGTAAGGCTGAGCTACCCGTACAAAACCCGTGCCGCTGGAAGAAATCGATGGCGGAGCAACTCCGGCCCTTAAGAGAGGGCGTGACTGAGAGCCAAGGCCGAAGGGAGCACAGGGCCCTACCGCCGAACACCCGCAGGGCAGCACAGGCCCGACGCGCGCCCACCACGCCCGGCTGCTGCCTGAAAGCACCCGCACCTCACGGAACGCGCCCGCAGCAACACTGACACCGACGCGGGGGCTCGATGCGCGGCTGCCACGGCCGAAGAGCGCGGGGCGGGGGTCAGTCAAGAGGAGCGGCCCCCTCAACGGCGGCACCCACGACCTGGCCACCCCCGCCACGCACCCCGCAGGGAAGAGGAGGAGGACGCAGGGCCAGGCCGGGCCGTGTCCCCTCAGAGGCCGCCCGCTGAGGCCGTTACCGGCGGTGCTCGCTCCCGCGGCACGGCCCCGCCCCCCTCCGCGGCCGCGCGCACACCCTTGCCTGCTTGTTGTTGTTTTCTTCCTCCCCCCAGCGACACGGCCGCCAGCGCCGCCGCCGATTGGCTGGTTCCCGCCTGCCGCCGCAGCCAATCGGCAGGCGGGGATGGCGGTGGGAGGGGGACGGGAGGGCGGTCAGCCCTCAGGAAAAGGAGTGAGGGGAGAGAGGGCGAAACCATCGCGGGCGTGTCGGGGGGGGGAGAGGGGGGGAGCCGGAAGGAGCCACTCGTGCAGGGAGGGGAGCAGGGGGCCGCGGCCTGTGAGGAGAGTGGCGGTTGTTCCTCGTTCACCGGGGGGATGCTGCCCCTTGGTGCCGGAGGGAGCATGAGACAAGCGGCGAAGCTTGGCTCCTTCCTCCTCCGGCCCTGTGGCCCCTTGGTACCTGGTGGTTGAAATGAAGCTGCTTTACGCTGCGTAGATGGGTGAGGAATTGTCTCTGGGGCTGTCCCGCACGCACCGGACCCGCACCTAACATTGCCCTGTACAACATTACCCCCGTCCGCCCACAAAAGTGTGCCTGGTCATCATATCCTGACTTCTTAACCTTCAGGAGGATCAGTAGTGGCAGTTAGCAACGCCCTTGACCGGCTTTAGGCCAGATCTGACACGATGAACGCCAGGATGTGGGAGAGCTGTGAGGGGATGTCTGGGTGTTTGCAGTGACAGACCTGAGGAAACCCTGACAGCTCTGCTTGCCTCCTCTTCAACATCGTGTCCTCCTCCGTTAAGAAGAAATCTATTTTCTGCACCAAAACCATCATAGGAATAATGTGCTACCTCTGCTTTGTGTTGCTAACATGGGGATCTTTTACTCTCTCTTCACACAAGACCCCCCTGTATTCTCTTCATTGGGTGTCATTTGGGCAGGAGGACTGGGAAACACTGCAACTGGCCCACAGTTGGCAAACAGGATACCTGCTGCCCGGCCATCCAAATAATGGGCTGCAGCCACCTCACACACTGCTGGAACTCAAACCCAGTGCAGATTCAGCTAAACCAGCCATACCCACCTACAACCTTCCAAACTTTCTGCCTTAGTTTAGTTTACATTGACCCTGTTTATTCTATATGAACTGCCTGAGGCCAGACACCTAATTAGAGACAAGAGTCTCTCATGTATTTTGCCTCCATTCACAGTTTCTCCTAAAAACTCAGCTAACCCTTTGTTTCTCTCTGTAATTTTTCACTCTGGAGAGCCCAAGCAAAAGCAGTCCAGTGATATGAGCAAAGCAAATACAGATCCCTTTTGCTTTAGTACTTTTGCACTGCAGAATATTTCAACTGCCAACAAGAGAATCCTCCTCAGTTAATAGATGATGGCTTGAATTTTATAGTACTTTTACATATTTTTCCAGTACAATTTACTCCAAATCAGTGTACTTTTGACTGAAATAAGAGCCAAACTTTCCTTGTATAAGAGCCTCTGATTTAATTTACTGGCCCAGTTCTGCATGAGTTGTCAAAACTTGGTTTAAGAATTAAACCAACAGTGATCTGTTAAAAGAATGTGCAGCACAATTGCTGTATTTTTAATGATAATTACTTTCCCAATCAGGCAAAAGACAGAAAGAAAACCTTTCTTGTTCATGAAGACACTAAGTTGCAGACATTTTCAAGTCAGGACACTTCAGCATGCTCACACAGGACTTCTTTCATATGCAACCTAGAGGCAGCCTCAAAAGATGTTGTTTCCCCATCAATCAAAAAGTAATATCTCATTTGTTCTATGTACCTCCATTGCATGTACCAAGCAAACAGATCATGGGATCCAGCTTCCCTTGCAAGCCAGAAAAAGGGCTTTACAAATGTTTTTCAGTGAAGGGGAAATAGGTGGCAGAGAAACTGAAACAAAACTAACCAGAACCTGCACCAGAGAAGATGCCACAAAATACCAAATCAGTGCATCATGCCAGTTATACATTTTAAAGCACCCTGGAAAACTGCTAGAGGATTTTCTGGTAAAATTTAGGACTGGATCACTTCCAAGAGGCCCAAAAGCTGGGTCAGTGATCAAAAGAAGATTAAAACCCCTGAACCATCCAGCATACTTCCAGATAAGAAAATGATGTGGTTTTCCTTTCTTCTGCTGAATTTCTTTATTAGCAGCTGGGTTATTAATCACTGAAAATCTAGTCTAGATTTGACTGTGCATATTATCTGATCTGTAATACACTGTGACCTGAAAAGGGTCTGATGTGCATGACAGATTTTTTGTATTTTTCCATTGTTATCAACCAGTCTGCTCAAAGATATCACCTCTTTTTGCCTTTCTAACCTCAAAACCACCTGCAATATTATAAAGACAGCTGATCATATGCTGATCTCTGAGCTGTAGAGCCCTGCTTCCTCTCTCCCAGCCTCCCTCCCCCAGCCATATTAATAGCAAACATCCCACCAAAATCCTCATAAAAACAAAAGAGCAGATTTTCTCCTCACATAGAAAAAGAAACCACCCTCTTTTGACCATTTCTGGCCAATTTGCAGCTTGAGACAACCCATGCGGGCTGTGCAGCTCAGCATCCTCTCCGCAGCACCTGCATCCCGGGTTTACCTGCACCCAGGACCTCCTCCGCTCCAACCTGTGCCAAGGGGGACCCGCCAGCAGCTCCCACCCTTAACGCCGCCAGTCACCTGGAGCAGAATGCTTGCACCGAGGCGAGCAGGTCACTTTCTAGCTGCCTGCCTTCCTTCCTTCCTTAGAGCCTGCTGGGTTGTTTTCAAACTCTCCCCTCCCTTTCTCACATGCTGGCCAAGCCCTCTTGTAACACCCAGGGGAGGAATCCATTGGCTGAAGTTCCCCAAAACACGTGGAGCAGCCCTTCCCCCTATCCAATCTCTAGTTCACAATAGACACAGGGTGTCTCCAGGCTGCCCTGGACAGTTTGCTGCTGGCCTTTGCTTTTCATCAAGGTTTATCTGAGCTGCAGCTGCCATGACTCACACAGGTCCCTGACCTCCAGCACCGAAGAGAGCAGAGAAGAGCAGAGAGAAATGGTGTTGGGTTAGAAACATCACAGATCATTCTCATTGCGCTCCCCTGGCTGTGGGTTTCTCAAAGTTTTACTTTCTGTTTTAAATATTTTCGATAGGCAGCATCTGTGCTCCTGACACCTCAGCAGTGCTGTTTGATTACAGTCGAGTCTGTTACTGTGCCACTTGGAATATAAATTGCCACACATAATGCACACGGCAAAAAATGTATCGTATCTGTTAAATCAATCTGCTCTGTTCAGTTGCCTGTCTCTTGGCCTTCTGCTTTCTCTTCCTTCAGCCTACTTTTATTTTTGCATCTTCTGCAAAGGTGCCTTCATAAAATGAACTGCAAGCACAGCAATCCCATTCTTCAGGAGGCAGCGTCAGCCCCAGGTTGAAAGGATAGTAAATCATGCCTTTGCTGTTTTTTAATGCTCAGTAATTAGAGTTGCTTTTGAACATCCTCCTGCAGCTCCATCCATGAGCTGGGAACAGGGCTGTGCTGCAGACCTGTGTGTGCAGTGCCTGTCAAGACTGGGAACCCTTTGGAGGGGTGGAAGGGGGTCACCATACGGTTGCCTGAACATGGAGACTGAAGTGTCACCCACTGTGATGGCTTTGGATAGCACTTTCCCAAACCGCAGCTTGCCTGTCTTTGTTGTGGCTTTCCAGGACTTGCCCCTCACATTGCACAAAAAGCCTTCCCTCTTCACATTTCTGAGTACACCCTTCTGGCAGAAGTGTTAGAATTGGGTTTGCTCTGTAAAACTGTTCCAGGCATGTCTCCTCTGTGCTGCAGTTGTCATCTGTTCATTCTTGCCTTAACAAAAGGCAACCACGCATCTGAAAAGAAGCTTTACTGGAAAGGGCTGAACTTGTGAAATGTGCAGAAAAATGGGAGTGCTTGATTTAAGAGATCCAGACAGTGAGTTCATTTAAGAGCTAACAACCAGAAACATGAAATACCGCCTTTACCTCAGAATAATTGTCCTTTTTTACTGGTTCACTGTGGGAGAAAATCCTAGGGAACCATTTATTAAAGCAAGGTGTGTTATTGCCTTGTAATTACTATTTGACAAGCTGAGGTCTTGTGATTAATAAATCATGTGCCTGCTTTTTGTGTGTGTATAATCACATGCTCCATATTTATATTGACAGGGCTACAGAATAGTTACCTTTGTGTATAGGACTGGCAGAAACTTCTGTGCTACCAATCTCCTATCATCACAGGCACTGTGGGATATAATCCTTTTTGTAAACTAACTTACCAAGTTCCGTCCTCAAAGTGATTTAATATTTTTGCATGCATGCCTGCAATGGGGAGGCTATTCCAGAACCACTGGCAGAAGCTTAGTAATGACCTATCCAAAATTTCTGATGTCTCTTTTTGATCATTTATTCTGTATCAGCACTGGCCTTCCACACTGTCAGCTCTTCCCTCTCTTTTCCTGGGAGTATTAATGCAGAGAAATACTCCCTCTCTCAGCATTCTCTTTGCAAAATGAAGCGAGATAGATAGCTTTTCCTGAAGCACGCCCCAGCCTTTGCTGCAGCCTGGGCTGCACCTCTCCTGCTGCGTCCCAGGACTACATTTCTTGCTTCATGTTTCCACTGTGTTGGCAAGTCAGTTATTTGGTGATCGAAGTGTGAGTTGTCAACTAGCTTGTAGAAAAGGGTTCAGTCATTTGTGCCTATGACCACCACTTTCTGCTGCTGACTACTTTTTTCTATATAATATCTCAAGCCTCCTTTGTCTTGAGGTTGCTTCATATTTTCTGTCATCAGCAATTTCACCAGTTCCCCACTAACATAAGTGCCAAGCTCATTTACAAAAGCACTTTACTAGATCTCCATGAGTGGTGTTTAATACGTCCCTGGTAAGTGCCCTCCAGCCTGACAGCCGTCTGCTGCTCTCACAGCAGATCTTTATGGGGTTTAAGCCTTGTGCTAAATCACTTCTCCCTTTTCTTAAGACTTTTCCACATGGCACCATATGAAATGTGCAATTCAAGTCTAGATAGGAGAGATCCACCCCATTTCCTTCACTAAGCAAATGGCTTGCAGCTTGCCTTACCCAAGAAAGATAAATGGGTTTGATAAACCCATTTAATCTCATGCCATTTACCTCCCTCTCTTTTGCTAGCCTTTGCTTCACCATTTTTTCTGAAGCTTTCCATACACTATTAAGCTGAAACCTTCATGCCTGTTCTTGTCCCAATCAGTTCACTTCTGTACAGGTTCACTGTGCTCCTGTCCCTGACTGAGGGACCTGTTAAAGACATCAGGCCAGTTCTTCCAGAGCTCTGGCATGCGGATCAGCCCGTTCCTCTGCCTTAAGTGCAGGAAGGAGCCCTGAGATTTGCTTCTATCCTGCCGTGAATATTTTCATACCCCCATCCCATTATACTTCTCATCTGCAGCCACATGATTAACATCCTCAGTGAAAGTTGAGGCAAAGCATGAGTTTGGGTTTTGCACATACCTAATACACATTAACCTCTATCCCATACAATCTCTCTTTTTCCTCTGTTTTTTTCAGCCATATACAGCCAGGAAAAACATTTTCCCATTTTTATTAATATCCTTTAGAAGACAAAACCCCAACTCAATTTTGAGACTTACCTTTTACACCCAGTGGGATATTTTGCTTTTTGAAATGATTCCTTGCGATGACTGCTCATTCTTAGTATCATTTCTGAGGTTGAAATGATATTAAGCTGCAGCCTCTGTCTTCAGGTTTTTCCCCTTGCCTGGGTTTTATCCCCAGTGAAGTTCTGCTTCATTAATTAGAGTTTTATCCCCAATCCTAGAATCTCATTGCAGTGAAGTTTAGACATGTAAATCCCAGAGCTCCTAAGGAAAGCTGGCTATACGGATTAGTTCCTGTTATATATTTAAATACACCATTTGGAAGTCTGAAGCTGTATCAGTCAAGCCTGCCTTGATCGCAGACATATAACATTTTAAGCAGGGTACTGTTTATCGTTAGAAACCTGAAGCATCTCAATTCTCCTAGAAAAAAACTTGACCAAAGTGGATTTTCCTGATATTTCTAGGGTAAAAATCAGCAACACATTGGAAAGGCAGAAGTGAATTAGAAATAATTTTTTTTTTTAACCTTAAAAATAGAACTGTTCAAGTCACCTTTAGTGTAAAACACCCAAAGGTGTTTTACTGCAGCAGGGCCAGGAGACTCAGCCAAGGCCAATGAGGTCTAGAGATGTGACTGCCTCTCTTCACCCTGTTTCACATCTGCTTTTTCCTCTGGTTGTCTCCTCTAACTCTTCCTCTTCAGCTCCCCTTCTGCTTTCATCCCTACTGACTGCCCCAGAGACCCAGCACTCTCCTGAAGTCGGAGTGTTGGTGTGCAAGGGCTTGACATTCTCAGCTCTTTTGCTGCAAGGGACAAAGGTTTTGCATCAGCTGCCTGAGCCAGCCACAGAGCGTAACAGTACAGAGGAATGTATTTCTGATCTCGTGGTGAGTGTCTGCACATATATCTAGGCTCCTTGGCAGGCTTGGACCACCTGGTCTGGAGGGCAATCAGTGCTGCTGCACCTTCCCTGTAGCCAGGGCTTGGCTAATGTGACTGCACTGCTGATAAAAGCACAACCACCTGTGGCCATCACCAGTTCTTGCATAGCGTGTTCTGGGGTATCAAGGTTGCAGTGTCTCTAGAGATGTTCCCTGACAAGGAAAGTCCTTGTAGTCTCCCATGTGCGTATGCCAGAGGGCTGGATGGAGCATGGTGGAGATGGGGGCTGTGGTGATGGTATTCAGCCCAGGGGCACACCACACCACACCTTGCACTCCAGGTCGCTGTCTGCCATGGACTTGCCCACTCTGTGCTGTGACAAGCTGGACTACAGCCTCAGGCACAACAGATCCCACAGCAGCCCTTTGGCGGTGTGCATGAGGCTCCCAAGGTAAGGAGCAAGGCTTAGGAACGGTGGTGCTGCTTCCAGTGCTTAGGAACGGTGGTGCTCACCCTCCTGGTGGGCCGAGCGCTCCCCCACCTCTGCACCCTCAAGTTGCTGGCACAGGAGAGGGTGAGGTGTGTCCTCACGTTGGGGCATGAGCCACAAAGTCAGCACTTCGGGGCCAAGTTCCCATCTGACGCCGACTTACTGCATGACCTAAGGCAAGTCACTTACCTCCTTTCCTGCGTTTCCTGACTCTGCTAAACGCCAGGGATAATAAGTAACTTTGTATGAGTGCTACGAAGCTTTGAAATCTCCAGATGAAAAGGTGCTGTATAATTGCAAAGCGTTTTTAATAATGCTAATCATTCGCTTCACTCCGCATTGCTTGTCAGTCTCAGGCTGCAGCGCTGCGGCAGCCACCAGCATGCAGCCAGCGAGCATCAGGCTTTGCTGAAGTGGAGGATTTTCCCGAGTTCGTTTCCATTTTGACCTCATGCTGGTTCAAACAGGAATCTGAGCTCAGCCCAGTACCTGACAAAAAGCCACAAGCCCAGAACAGTGCTTGGCGCTTGCAGGCAGGAGCTTTCTGGAAAGCAGGGGTATTTGGGGGAAGGGATTTAAACAGCTGTGTTGACAACACAGACAAAAGGGATCTGATTCAGGCTGAGGGGGGCTACGTGAAAGGCAGCACGGAGCTGAAGTTAAAGCAACAGTGAAGAGGAAGGAGAGGGAAGAAAGGAAGATCGCTTGGGCTGAAATGCTCCTGGTTTGGATGC